GAGATCAATCTAGTGCACTCCAGCCTGGGTGACAGAGAGAGACTCCATCTCAAAAACAAAACAAAACAAAAAACCAACAACCCCCCCCCCAAAAAAAAACCCAAATAGCTAGGAAAGAATAATTCATGTCTCTAGTTTAAAGACAAATATTAAGGCGATGAATTTCCCAACTACACTGATGAGATCTTCACCGTACATCTGTTATGCATCAATAAAAAATTGTTTAAAAAATGGAAATTCCCCAGGTCTCCCCCAAAAAACCAGACCAAGGGCCAGGGAATACTTCTTGAAGGATGTGAAATTTGAGAGATAGGGAAAGTTTGCAGAGCAAAAGCAAGCAGGAAGTGGGGGTAGGGGAGTAAGATCATCAGCAACTTGTCAATTTTTGTAATCAACACAATACAATAAGATAATTATGACTGTAATATTTAATAATTAAATTGTTTCAATTGCTAATGTTTTCAACAGGCTGGTTTTAAAATACAGTATTTGCCTTCTGTAGAGTCAGAATTCTGGAATATAAAAGGATATTTAGTATCTTTTTAGTCTATTTCCAATATGAAAAACCTTTTAAAAATACCAAGGTAATACATATTTAATATAGAACATTTATATAAGCAAAAGAAGGAAAAAAAATTCACCTTTAATCCTATTCTAAACTGTCATGAATATTTTGTAGCTAAATTCTTGCAAATGCTCATGATTATTTCCTTGAAGTAGATTAGGATAAATTCCAAGATGAGAATTGCAAATTTAAAGAAAATGATTATTTTAAGGGCTTCGACTAATGTTAACAAAGACGGAAAGATTGTGTTCATATTTGAAAGCCTAAGCTCTGGAGTAGATTGCCAGGTTTTCACCACTGTCCACCATTACTAATTCTCGCCCTTTGGCAGATCCTGTATCTTTCTAAGCTTTTACTTCTTTATTGGCCAATGGAAAATCTCAGCTTTGGCTCATCATTTATCATGCTTATACCTTGGAGTGCCATTAGGATTACACTGGATAATCTCTGTAAAGAATTTATTACAGTGATAGCACACATTAAGCATTCAGTAAAGTTCAACTATTATTACTATTATTGTTGTTATTATCACATTCTTCCTGGCAATACAGAAAAGTGTCCATTTTCCTCTGTCTTTGATAATAGTGGCAAAAAAGCATTTCTAACTTGATAGATGAAAATGGTGCTTGCTCTAATTTGTGATTCTTTATTAACCTGCTAACCCCGTTTTTAAAAAGAAAAGATGAAGGGCTCAAGGACACCCAACAAATTACTACAATAATTAAAATTAGCACCCCGATTGCAGGATTTTCAGACCATTGCTCTTGCAAGTTCATTGCTCAACCTTGAAAGGCAGTATAGCTGATTCTTCTAATGTGGCCCCTGAAGTCAGCCAGCCTGGGTTCAAATCTCACTCCTTATTCCTTCCTAGCTCTGTGACCTTGGACGCTTCCTTCCTTCAATGAGAGAGTTAATAACTTTTCTGGGCCCTAGTTTCTTGTTTTAAATTCAGAGATACTGAAATTAAAGATCATTGTAAGGATAGTTAATTCATATTAAGTGCTTAGAACATGAATAGCAAGTATGAACTACTCAGGGGGCTCTAACCTTTAGATGTGCCACTCTGTTGGATCAAACTGACTTTCTTATAAGACATGTCTGCTCATATAGCTCGGCTGTCTTTAACACTAGAGTTGGGAGAGTAGTTTGGGAACTGGTGTGGACTTCTCCCAAAGTTAGGCAGCTGTAGTGAACTAGGATGCATAGCTGATCACAAGGTCTTTGCCTGGAAGGCAGGTTCAGAGTGATACGCTTAATTTCTTGCACGGAAGCTTCCATATTTATGAGCATTCAGAGAAAGGAACAACACACAGTACCAGAGCAAAAGCATGCTCCCTCCACCCATTCCCAGCAATCTGCTGTTCATTAGGTTTACCCACAGATTGACTTTAGAGTCTTTCAGGTGCCAGGTGCAGTGGCTCACACCTGTAATCCCAGAACTTTGGGAGGCTGAGGCGGGAGATATCATTTGAGGTCAGGAGTTTGAGACCAGCCTGGCCAACATGGTGAAAAGCCATCTCTACTAAAAATAAAAATATTAGCTGGGTGTGGTGGCATGTGCTGGTAATCCAGCTACTTGGGAGGCTGAGGCAGAAGAATTGCTTGAATGCTGGAAACGGGGATTGCGGTGAGCCGATTGTGCTACTGTACTCCAGCCTGGGTGACAGAGTGAGACTCCATCTCAAAAAAAAAAAAGAAAAAAAAGTTTTTCAGTACCTAACCTGTCTATAGGTAGAGAAAACTTGTTAAATCCCAGAGTGGAAACAGTTACAGAATCTAGCTGGGATTTTTCTTTGTCCTAACCATAGTTTTTAAAAAAAGTGCCTATTTTCAGAGACAAATACTGGAAGCTGGTTCTTAATGTGATTGCTTGTGTTTTAAATCAAAGACATTTTAGAATCATATGGAAAAAGTTGCAAAGACAAATTTTCAAATAACCATGGCTATCCAATTTCAATAAAAATTAAATCTCTCTTTTAAAAATAAAGAAGATAACGTAGCCTTCCTTAAAGAAGATAACATAGCCATTAGTCTGACAAATGCCTAAATGCTGAATATTGTGCAACTTAACTTTTGCCATTTCACAAATTTCTGAATCACAGACATAATGATCAGTTATTTGTTTTTAAGATTAAAATATTAATTCTATTCTTTTTTTTTTTTTTTTTTTTTTTGAGATGGAGTTTCGCTCTTGTTACCCAGGCTGGAGTGCAATGGCTCGATCTCGGCTCACCGCAACCTCCGCCTCCTGGATTCAGGCAATTCTCCTGCCTCAGCCTCCTGAGTAGCTGGGATTACAGGCACACGCCACCATGCCCAGCTAATTTTTTGTATTTTTAGTAGAGACGGGGTTTCACCATGTTGACCAGGATGGTCTCGATCTCTTGACCTTGTGATCCACCTGCCTCGGCCTCCCAAAGTGCTGGGATTACAGGCTTGAGCCACCGTGCCCAGCAATTCTATTCTTTAAAAAAGTCTTTTATAATCAGTTATAAGGAAACAATTGAAATTATCTAAAACATCAATTATTCTAATCAATATGCAGGTATTTCGCAGAAAAGTATTTATAGCAAAAATGTTCATTTAAAAAATGTTTAAGTAGAAAAAGTCCAGGAGCAAAAAATAAATTTCCATTCTCACAATATGGAAGTAGTGAAAGTGAAAATCCATCAGAAAAATAGGGTGATGGCTTGGTCCACCCATACCCATACTGACAGTAAATAACTGAATTTAAAATGAAGATGAGAAATCTTTGTGCAGATATAGGAGGTGAATAATCAGTGAAACATTGTAAAGCAATCTTTCAAGAATCACGGGCCAGACACAGCGACTCATGCCTGTAATCTCAGCATTTTGGGAAGCTGAGGCAGGAGGATCTCTTGAACCCAGGAGTTCAAGACCACCCCGGGCAACAAAGCAAGACCCAGTCTCTACAAAAAATTAAAAAATTAGCCAGTCATGGTGGCATATGGCTGTAGTTCCAGCTCCTCAGGAGATTGAGGTGGGAGGGTTGCTTGAGCCCAGGAGTTCAAGGCTTCAGTGAGCTATGATCGGGGTCACTGCACTCCAGGCTGGGTGGCAGAGTGAGACCCTGTCTCAAAAAAAAAAAATACTTGGACACTTTACTAAGCTCTGATATCACTATTAGCCCCCAAGATAAAGTGTGTGCTATAGAGCGGCACGATGGCATTGTTTTATAGGCAGAATGCTTAGAAAACACCCAATGTAGAGGTCTTTAAGGGAGGGTACCGTCTAATTGATTGCTCAGCTATGTTGCCACATTTAGAAATACATTAGCCAGTATAACTTGTTTTCAGTTATTTCCGATTTTCCTTTTGTTGAGATTAAATTCAAATCAGAAATTACTGAAAATAAGTTACTAAATTTCATATAAAAGAGCACTGGTATTTTACATAAACAATGTGACAAACTAATCTGATTACAAGGATCATCAGAGAAAATTTTAAAAGTATGGATTGTTCAAACACCACCATGTTCTCACTCATAGGCGGGTGTTGAACAATGAGAACACATGGACACAGGGAGAGGAACACTACACACTGGGGTCTGTTGCGGGGAAATAAGGGAGGGACAGCGGGGGGTGGGGAGTTGGGGAGAGATAGCGAGGAGAGAAATGCCAGATATAGGTGTTGGGGAGGAAGGCAGCACATCACACTGCCACGTGTGTACCTATGCAACAGTCTTGCATGTTCTTTACATGTACCCCAAAACCTACAATGCAATTAAGAAAAAGTATGGATTGTTTTCATAGTTATGTCATCTCTTCTTAAGCTCTTCACCTTACTATATATATATATATATAAATATTCCCACCTTAAATCATTTTTGATTAACATTTGTTTTATACTCTATATGTTTCCTACTTTTAATTTTCAAGCTTTGAGATAAATATTATATAGCTGGGTTTTATTTTTTCATCTAATTCAAGGGTTTGGAAACCCTCCCCTCCCCTCCCCTCCCCTCCCCTCCTTTCCCCTCCCCTCCCCTCCACTCTCCTCCCCTCCCATCCCCTCCCCTTCCTTCCTTTCCTTTCCTTTTCTTTTTTCTTCTCTTCTCTTCTCTTCTCTCCTCTCCTCTCCTCTCCTCTCCTCTCCTCTCTTCTCTTCTCTTCTTCTCTTCTTTCTTTTCTTTTCTTCTTTTTAAGAGACATGGTCTCTATCACCTAAGCTGGAGTGCATAGTTCACTGCAGCCTTGATTTCCTGGGCTCACCTCAGCCTCCTGGAGTAGCTAGGACTACAGAGGCATGCCACCACACTAGCTAATTTTTGAATCTTTTGTAAAGAGAGGTCTGCCTATGTTGCCATCCTCCCACTTTGGCCTCCCGAAAGTGCTGGGATTACAAGAGTGAGCCACTGTGCCAGGCTTGGAAACTGTTTCTTATCCACCAAAATCTGTTTTTCCATTCTTCCACAGTAATAAAGCTGTAACTGGGCTGTTGCTATCCAACGAGGAGCTACATTTCTCAGCCTCCCCTTGCAGCCTGGATTCTAAGTCGTTGCCAGTGAAATGTGAGTAAAGGTGATATCTGCTTTTGCTGGCTTTGCTTGTGTGTTCTTCATGCCTTCTTCCTTTTGAGTCAGAACTTAGATATCCTTTTCCTATCTTCAAGTATGCAGATAAGGAGAACACTGTGAAGGATGGTAGAAAAGTTAACACGGAAAGAAGTAGGATCTCTGGATGGAGTATGGAACAGAGTTGCCCTTTGATTTACAGCATCGAATTCTGCTATATATTATATTCTCTAAGCCATTAGATTATTGTTGGATCTTTTTATATTTTAGTTGAGACAAGGTCTTACTTCATCATCCGGGCTGGAGTGCAGTGGTGCAGTCATGGCTCACTGCATCTTCAATCCGTCGGGCTCAGGTGATCCTCCCACTTCAGCCTTCCACGTAGCAAACCACCATGTCAAGCTAGTATTTTTTATTACTTTTTGTAGAGACAGGGTCTCCCTACGTTGCCCAGGGTGGGCAACGTTATAGTAATCTTGTCTTGCCCCATGGCACTTACCATATAACAAGTTCTACATCGGATTTTCGTCTATTTTATTCTGCTTCGTATTGATTTGTATCTATTAGATTGAAGAAAGAGGACTTCTTCAATAACTTCTACTTTTGCACACCATGTTAGTGCTGAGCATATTTTCTCTTTGAACAATTATTTTCTGAACCCCTAGTGGGTGCCAGGAACTGTACTAGGAGGTAGGCGTATAGTGGGGAACAAGCAGAAAAGTTTCCCACTCTTTAGTATTGTGGGGAGCTGGACATCAAACAGACATAGAATAAATATGTAATTATGATGAAGAAAAGCATAAGGCATTCTGAGACCTAATTTATATCGGGAGCTCAGAAAAACTTCTCTAAAGAAGTGATTTTTTAAGTTGAGACCTGATGGCTGAATAGAGTTAGGTGAAGAGTGGAAGGGAAGACCACTGCAGACATGGAACAGCATAGGCTAAAAGCAGTCAAGAGCATGGTGCGTTCACAGAATGAAGCAAAGGTCAGTTAGGTCGTGTGTGGTCAAGTGGAAACTGGTATGAAATGAGCCTGGAGGAGTCGTCAGAGGCCCAAAGATACAGCATCTTGAAAGATTTCATGTCTCATTCCAGTCTTGGCAGCCACTGAGGGGGTTTGATCTAGTTTGCACTTCAACACATTTCTCTGGATTCTGGGCGAAGGACTGATTATAAGGGAGAGAGACTGGGAATAAACCGATAACCGGAAGCAGTCCTGGCAAGAAATGACTGTCCTGGAATGGGGTGGTAGCCATGGGGAGAGAGGGAAGGGGAGGGACTCAAGATGCAGTCTGGAGGAGGAAGTAGCAGGACTTGGAAACACCGTGTCTGGAGGAGGGGTGGTGGTAAGGGAGGGGAAGGTGGCAACAAATCCTCCTTAAACTGATTTGTTCACTTCCTTTGCCCACTTACATAGGGGAGGAAAACGGTCTCATGGGTCTTTCTTTTATGATTTTGTTTGAACAAGCACTTACCCTACAGCCATGTAAACCTGGTTTGTCCCACCTGAAGTATTCCATTCCGCATTCTGTCTTAGGCTAGTGGAATTTTCCTTTCCAATTGGATTGTTAGGTTGTGCGAGGGAGAGAACTGTGTTGCTTTCATCTCCTGTCCTACATAGCACCTAGCGCGGTGCTTTGCTCAAAGCAGATGCAGAGAAACATTTCTGAAATACATTTCTTTTGAGTGTTTTGTAAGAAATATGTTTTTCTTTAGCTGCACAAGAAAAGATTTATTTTCCTTCAGTCTTTCAGTTTTTAGCCCACTGGTAAAGTACAGTGCATCTGGCATATTGGTGATATATTCAAGTTAATTTTTCCTTTGCTCATTGATTTTAGTCTATAGTAGAATCAATCTTTTGGACCAGTAAAAATCCCAGTGCTTCATCCAAATCTGGTATTCATATCTGTGAGGCGAGAACTACTGACGAGCACACTGAAACGTTTTGCACATGTGTTTTTCTCTTTTGCCTCTGTGGTAAGGCATTTTCCTAGCTGTGCTCTGGATTCTTCCCATTCCAGTTTTGAAATTTCCACATGGGGTTTAGCCACTTGGTGAACTGCTCCCAGATCCCCTTTATACTATCGGAGTCAGCTTCAGCCATAAGATTTTTCTGGTTCATTGAACCTGCCTTTACTGTCCCATCTCACTGGCTTCTTGGCCTTTATTCTTTCCCAATATTTCATGGTTGTAACCTATGAACTTTTCCTTTCAACAGTTCTCTGTCCTCGGGGAAGCACTCCATCTTGGCTGTTCCGTGGTTTTTGATTTTGACTCTGTTGCTAGCCAGCTGTGACAGTGGCCACTTGAATCACAGGGTGGGCTGTTCTTCTTTAGTCATATCTGTTTCTCATCTTTCTCTGCCTTGACATTGTTTCAGAGATAGTTTTAAATCCAACAGAATTTTCCTTGTAATTCTTAGATGCTGATTCCAGTTTGTCTCTTTAAAATAAAGCCAATTTTGCCAATTTCTTGCTTTTTTCTATTTGGCATTGTTGAGATTGCCACTGCTCTTGACAGATGCTATTCAGTATGTCATTACTCAGCCTGGGAAGTAATTTTAGAATGTCTTGTGCCCCTGACTCTGGAACGCTGTGTCCAAAGTGTGGCGCATCTGAAGGATGTGGGGATGACCTGAGGAAGAATCTGTGACATTTGTACAATGCCTTACAATTTACAAGGGACCTTTAAGTATGTGATCTTGCTTAGTGCTCACAATAAGCATATGACGGTGGCATGGCATTATAATGCCTGTTTTTCTTTCTTTCTTTTTTTTTTTTTTGAGACGGAGTTTCGCTCTTGTTACCCAGGCTGGAGTGCAATGGCGCGATCTCGGCTCACTGCAACCTCCGCCTCCTGGGTTCAGGCAATTCTCCTGCCTCAGCCTCCTGAGTAGCTGGGATTACAGGCACGCGCCAACATGCCCAGCTAATTTTTTGTATTTTTAGTAGAGACGGGGTTTCACCATGTTGACCAGGATGGTCTCGCTCTCTTGACCTCGTGATCCACCCACCTCGGCCTCCCAAAGTGCTGGGATTACAGGCTTGAACCACCGCGCCCGGCCCTAATGCTTGTTATAAAGTCAAGAAACTTGAGGCCAAGTGTGGTGGCTCATGTCTGTAATCTCAGCAATTTCGAAGGCCGAGGCAGGCAGATCACCTGAGGTCAGGAGTTCGAGACCAGCCTGGCCAACATGGTGAAACCCCATCTCTACTAAAAATGAAAAAAATTAGCCAGGTGTGGTGGCAGGCACCTGCAGTCCCAGCTCCTTGGGAGGTTGAGGCAGGCAATGGCTTGAACCCAGGAGGCAGAAGTTGAAGTGAGCTGAGATCGTGCCATTGCAATCCAGCCTGGGAGACAAGAGTGAGACTTCATTTCCTAAATAAATAAATAAAGTCAAGGAACTTGAGATCATAAAGTGTTTTCTTAACATTGCCCAGCTAGAAGGTGATGGAGAAAGGGTTTGAACTTATGTCCCACCAGTGCTCTTCATCCTACAGAATTCTGTCATTTTAATTTCATTTCAATTTCAGGCTGGGAAGGACAGTGTAGGTTGCAGGAGCAATTGGATCCAGGAACTCAAACAATGTTGTCAGAGCCTAGTCTTCTCTTTTGGCTCTGCCTTCCTCTGAGTTTATTTTCCCTTTGTCTAGGCTCTTCCCTTGCAGGACAGTATGGCTTCTAACAGCTCTAGGTCCATAACCTTTAATTTGGAGGAAAAAAACACATGCCCCTTCTGGCAGAAGTATAGAACTCGCTTCTCATTGTCTCCAATTGGGTTATATGTTTGCCTCTGAATCAGTTACTGTGGTCAGGGGTTTGGGATGCTCTGACTGGGCTGACCTGAGGCATATGACCTCTAGAGAGCCACAGGTATAATCAGTCAGGCTTAAATTCCATGGCAGGAGCATTGGGGAAAAGTGGTTTCTCAGAAGAAAACTGAGAACAAAAGTTATGCCTGGTGGGCAGACAAAGACACAAGATGCCCTCTGTGCTGGATATTTCCCATTTGCTCCTCACCACCCGTCTCTGTGCCTTGGGAGTCTAACTCCTGTATATTACATTGATAAGGTTTCTTTCCCTCAAGCTTCCAATTGCATTTGGCCAGTGGAGAGCTCTGGCAGATTAGAGTCAAGGAGAAGAGTAAGTGAGGGGTGTTTATTCCACCATTTCCTTTCCAGAAAGGGCCTACCTGTAAATAAAGTTGACAGTGCCCACTAGGCAACCCTCTTTACACAGTTCACACTGTCTCCAGATGCTGCTGCTTTCCTTACTTTTTCAAGACAGAGTGGTACCACTCCTGGGGTTTGGCACAATCCCTTTTAGTTTTTCTACACTCTGCTCACACTTTTGTAAATGATCCCTTTATTAAACTCAAGTTTCCAAATATGAGTGCATCATCTAATTCCTGCCACGACCTGAATGATACACCCTTTATAAGCAGAGAAGTAAAAGGCACATTCATAGCAGGTGAAAAATGATTCGGATCATCTGGGGGTGTTAGCTCAGGAGCTGAGAAGATTTAGGTGAGGCATATTGACTGTATTCAAAATCGATGCAAAAAGGGTGGCCACAGGGAAGAGGGAACAGCATGGTTTTGTGTGGCTTCTTTCCAGTCAGAGTTGTTAGATTTCCAACAAATAGTGCTGTCTAAAAATGAAGCAAGCTGCTCAAAAGGTAATGAGTTCACCATCACTGAAGTTATTCAGCTGGACATCTTTAGTGAGATTCACTTGTCAGGGGTTTTTTGTGACGGGCTTTCCTTCATCAGAGAGTAGGTGAATTATATTACCTGGAGAATCTCTTTCTAGGGTTTTATTCATGCGAGAATATTTTTTATTTCCTCTGGCCCATTGCTTTCTCACTGCCTGGCAGATGTTCGATGATGGAACCAGAGGCTATGGATGCATCTGCTGAGCCCTAGAGCCTTCGTGTGGTTTGCATTGATTTCCTAGGTCATTCTGGTTCCTCTCCTCCCCCAGCACCCTCTGGCGT